AATGTCCCGCCATTACACACAGCACCAATGCACAAATGTGGTTTCTAATCAAATCCTTAAACTGAAACATTTTGTAGTGTACATGTGCCTATGGGACTTATTGAATTGAAAGTTAGTTAAAATATTAATTTTTGGAACTTGCGAAGAGAAATGAAAGCAAGGAAATATATAATGAATTCCAGTCTGCTGCAATGAATGAGTTACCGTCTGTCATTAAACATTCCTTTATGTTTAAAGCCATATTTAAAAAAGAAAAAATGACAGTAAAATAAGGCTGCATTGTGCCAGCATAAAAAGTCTGGCGCCTTTCTATTCAACAGTTAACAATTAATGAAATGCATTCAGGGAACACGACAAAAATGGCCAGCTCGTGAATAAGGCCCATGTTGGTCTACCGTTCCTCTCCCCCATTGTATATAATGGTTTAGTCCATTGACCTGTGTGGTTAGATTAGGTGGGTGATAAGATATACAGGGTGGCCGGGTTGGTGCCACGCACAAGAAGCTGGTCACACAGGGTGCAATTTTCCATATGATGGGTGAAAAATCCTTTAAGAATATCCTGCATCCAGACGCAGATCCAGATCACTTCCAAAATATATTCGATTTGTATTTGTACCAAGGACTACCCCAAAAGTTTAATGAAAATCCGTCCATAACTTTTTGAGTTATCTTGTTAACAGACAAACCAACGCCGGTGAAAACAGAACCTCCTTGTCGGAACTAATTACGTTGGGTTTTAATCATAGGCCTACTCGCAGACGTATGTTAAGTTTGTTTCTAAAAATGATTAAAAAAAACCTCGTTCTTAATAAATCATCTTGTTGTAACACCTTTTCCATGTACAAAATACCAATAGCTGAAAAGGAGAGGTTGTTTGCTAAAGATTCAGCGGAGCATGCATACCCAAAATGAGTTGCCTGAGACAATAATACGTGCACTTAGTTCTTCTCTGGGCATTGTGCCATCGGACTTCGTTGTACCAATTCCACTTGAACGACCCAGAGCAACAGAAAATGCCAACTTATTGCTGAAGGCAATCCGCATTATTTCTGCCGTCTGATCATATCACTGTTCACGTTCTGCAGGTGATATATAGAGAAGGAATATGGGTCTGTGAGGCTGGCCGATTTGTGCCAGGAAGATTTGTATCACGGTGGTAAAATAATATCCATCGGTGTATATATAAATGGAGAATCAATCCCAGAACAATCCATTCCTTCCATGTTGTATGAGTAAACACGTCTGCCTTGTCTTACAGGTAATAAACAACATTCGCAAACATCATAAGACAAAACTACCAGAATCATAATAATACTTGGCTGCAAATGAATAATAGTCTCAAGCAGCCTGTGAAATCATTGCCTGGTGCGTTATCATTTTCAAGACGTGGAATTTTGTATCAACGTCCAACGATGGTCGACCGACCATCGTCAGAAAACACTGACTTTTTACACATCCGTGAAGGGTGCAAGCCATCTAGTCTGGTACCCTGCCCTGACAGGTCCCCGACGTCTATAAAATGCTCTGTTTCAGACTACAAGAAAAGCTTTCTTTTCTTGGTTTTTCCAGCATATGAACACAAAACTTGAAACAGGCCAGTGAATCAATATTTGCTATAAAGTACTAACCCCCAAATCCATCCATTTCTGAAAATTACAGCAACAGCAATTGAATATTATCTTTAATTTTGCCGGGAATTTAATATATCTTGCTTTGATAACAAAAAAATAGGCAAAAACAAACAAACATACAAACAAACAACAAACAAACACCCCAGCACCCCAACAGCCTAGTCCCGTTTTATTCCACAGAAAAGTTGTCATTAACAACGTCAATCATCTTTTTCAAAATTTGGTGGGTACTTAGCACTATTTTTGAAGCTTAATACTATAGGGGAAAAGGGTTTCCAGAAGAACTTTGCCAATTTTGTTTGAAACCCAAATCTTTTGATTTAAATGTCACTGCATGATATCTTCTTTTTTTTCCAAATCGCAATTGAATGAAATATTTCTCCGTAATCGCGAGGAAATGACGGGCAGTGCAAACCACACATAGACCAGCAGAATAGCAATGGCACGTGAGTGGCAAGGGAAGTGTTCCTTTAAGCTGGCTTCGATTTGAATAGTTTAAAAGAAAGCCGTTTTCCCAATTACTTTGACGCACAGTAAAGCGTGTGATTACATCAAACACTGAGGGTTTAACCAACCGTTGATCTGAGCTGTCCGCAGCAATGTATGGCACCGGCTCGCTTTCGGAGTAGTCAGCGGCGTCTGTAAGTCGACAGAGCTCTAACTTTATATGCATACAAATGAAGTTAGGGTAACCAGTTGCATTGCAGCTGCGCGGACTATGGGGTCTGAAACTGAACAAGGTGCTTCAGCCTTTCAGATGACGGTGAGCGTAACTTGAAAAAGATTAGGGTTTTTTGTCTGTATCTTTGTCTAGTTGGCTAAGAATTTTCACACTTCATCTTGATACTTATGCGTCGCATTAAACATGTAGACGGATCAACCAATCGACAAGCAATGCAAACGAAGTCTAGTTGATGCTACTTTATTCAAACTGGCAAATTGACAATTAGTTGTGCATCTATTTCTTACTGGAAATACTGTATCCCCGATTGATTACAAACCAGCATGTAGTTCTTCTTGCTTGTTATTATGCTGCTTGTTCAATCATAGATGGTGTACTTGGGGTGACATTTGTTTTTGCTCGCTGACCCCGTTTACCTTATATCAGACAAGGCAAGTCTAGTAAAGCTGGTCCCAGAGCGCCGCACAACACTCTGTTCAATCCATTCACAACGGCTATTCACCGGAGTGCATTTTGCCTACATTCAATGGGCCGGATTCAGCCCATTCATTGGCGTAAGGGGGTAAGTTTATTCCAAACTGTCGGGCCAAGCAAGTGAGACTTTAGAGCAAGTCTAAGTAACAAGTGACAGTCAGTCAGTCAGTCAGTCTGTCAGTCGGTCGGTCGGGGAGTCAGTTAGCCAGTCAGTCAGCTGGCTACCACAAAGATGACTACGGGGTAGTCCTCTAGCACAAGCAACAATTTAGAACTTTGACAAATACACATTCAAATATTTTTTCATTCGTGTGTTGTTAATTATTGCTAACACATTTTAATTTTCAAAAAATTATTCCCCAATTTTTGCTTGTCGGAGTATAGACAATTCCAATTAAACCTACCGTACAAAAAACACATCACCCGCTACACGCAGTACATATGCTCGTCAACTGCTGCAGTTCGCTCGTTTCGAAAGTCATTAAAATGTCACCTATGCCAAGGTTGAACTGCAAATCACAAAGCGAGAAATTTCAATCAATATTAGTATGCAGCTTCGGTAAACGGGGAAGGAAATCGCCGTCTTGTTGGTGCACTTCGCTGGCTTCAAATACAAGCTGACAAGGTTGAGGCGATGCATCGCGATGCATCGTTCGTTCAGCGATCAAAACAAGGAGAACTTCTGGTCCGTGGAATGTGCTTTATCGATCCCGTCACATCTTGGATAAGCAAGAGCGAATTCGTTAATGGTTTGGGGAATTCCGACACTTTCACTACACGCACAAAGTAATAAACGTGCACCCATGCATAAAATAATGCATGAATGTACATACGTTTACCGTGTAACAACTACATTACGCTTTCATACTGTTTTAAAACAAGTGCGAGTGCGCAATAAGCTCTTGCTGTCTTGCATGAACGTTTTTAACGAAATCTATCAAAATGATCCATGCCAAAGCTTAAAAATACGACGCCCAAAAATGCGACGCCGATGGCACATATGCAACACCATACTTTAGATTACCTATATTTATAGCGATTTGTGATAAGTACCACGTGACTATAACATTACTGCACATATTTTGCCTCCATTCACAAACTTTTCATGAACATCTTTCCAAATTGTTACAAACAACTTTTGTCAAGTATTTAATTTTTAGCTGTTTCGGTGACACACCGAAACAGCTCTTGTTTTCGTTAAGATTTCTTTTCTGATTGGCTTTTCCGCATAGTTGCGGAAAGCCTTTCTTTTTGTTCTCGTTGGTTTTTCCGCATAGTTGCGGAAAAGCCTTTCTTTTTGTTCCGATTTTTTCTTTCTTCCCCCATCTTTTTGTCGCCACAAAATCCCATAGACTTTGTACACGTCTTTTCGGCCCTCACTTTTGACATTAATCTCTGTCTTACATCATTCAAAGTCAACATACGCATAATCCCTATAGCAATAGACTTGACTCAAGTCGGAATTGCTCGAAGTCGGTATCTTAAAAAAACATCTCACAAATAATCACTTAGTTTACATCTTTCCAGAAGAAACTTCAGCAGGGGTTATTTAGCTCCACTGCGCATGTCTGTCATCACGCGAGGAGAAGGCGCGAGAAAGCTGGGGGACGTAATTGAATCGAATCGAAGTAGTAGCGTATGCAGTTCATACGGACTAGCTGGCCACAACGGCGGACCTCCGGTGTGGAAGGTCGTGGTCCCACGGGCGAAGGTGGAAGATGTCCTTAGACCGGCCCATGACAATAGGACTTCGGGCCACATGGGGATTGCCCGGACGGTCGCATGGTTGCGGCAGGCTCCCGTGTACTGAAGGGAAATGCGACGTCAGACGGTGGACTGCTGCCGAAAGTGCCACAAATGCGGATCCAAGAAGCCACCGCCGCGTCCTCTGAGAGCCCCACTCCAACAGAACGTGGTGGGGGCTCCAATGGAGCGCCTTGCAATCGACCTCACGGGTAGGCTTCCGAGGAAGAAGGCCGGGAATACGAGCATCATGGTGGTAGCCGACTACTTCACCAAGTGGGTAGAGGCATTCCCGATTTCTGACCAGACAGCAGAGACGGTTGCCTAGACGCTCGTCGAACAGGTCATTACGCGGTTCGGGACCCCTCTAGAGATCCACACGGATCAAGGGAGGGAATTCGAGGCTGGCCTGTTCCAAGGGGTGTGTAAGTTGCTCGACACTCACCGTTTCACCCTCAGTCAGATGGCATGGTGGAGCGCTTCAACCGCACGGTGAAGACCATGCTGAGCATGTTCGTTGACGAAAATCAGGACGACTGGGACGAACATCTCCCGTACGTGATGATGGCCTACCGTTCCTCTCAGCACGACAGCACTAAGTTTACCCCGAACATGCTCATGCTTTGCCGGGAGGTGGGACTTCCGCTGGATGTGGTGGTGGGCCTGCCGAAGGAACAGACAGCTGGTGTGGCAGTACATGGATGAATTAAGTGTGAAGATGGAACGAATTCGCCCGGCGCCGTTGTGGTTGTATACCCCCTTGAAGAAGGTGGGTCGCACACTGTTGTGTTCACAGTCTATTTGCATAGCGCCCTCTGGAGTAGAAATGTGTGGGCTGCGCCATGTTGGAATTGTACGAATAAAGTGTTACCTCGAATCTGAATTGCTCTCTCTCAGTACTGGATTTATAACCCATTTACACACCCTGGATATAACATTATTTGGCGACGAGGGAGGATAGATCATACTGAGAGTTCTTACAAGCCATGGCATCGATTCCACCGCCTCCATTCTTCCTCGTAACTCCGGGAACTCCGCCCGTTCCGTGGACTCAGTGGCGAGGTATGTTTGAAACTTACACTGTTGCATCAGCTGCAAATACGTATCCTGCCGTACGTAAACGTGCGTTGTTACTGCACTGCCTTGGCACTGAAGGTCAGCGTGTTTTCCATACGCTTCCACAAGAGAATGCAGGGGAAAATGAAGATGAATTTGATTCTGCTCTCCGGGTGCTTGACAGACATTTCAAACCCAAACTGAACGTGGTTGCTGAAAGATACAGATTTCGCAGACGTTCACAGTTGCCAGGGGAATCCGTTGATGATTACATCCGAGAGCTACGTGCCTTAGCATCATCGTGTAACTTTGGTAACATGACAGATGAGCTGATCAGGGATCAATTTATTGAGCGCACATACTCTACTCAGATTCGAGAGCGCCTACTGCTTGAACCAGATTTGACACTTACTGATGCAATTACAATTTCGCGTCAAGTCGAGTCGGCATTGCGTGAATCCAAGATCATCGGGGAGAATTCTAGCCATACTCCAGAGGCAGATGTACATGCAGTTACACACCGAAAACCCCGACAGCAAAATCGCAAACCACGCAAGCATCGCAACACTACAGGGCACCCTCCGCAACAATCGAGACCAGCACCGCTGCAGTCACAGATTTGCTACCGCTGTGGTGAACAATCGCACAAAGCAAATGATCCAAACTGCAAAGCCAAGTACGCTACATGCTCTAAATGTGGAAAAATAGGGCATTACGCACGTGTTTGCCGGTCTGGACAGAGATTTCAATCTACACGCAATCAGGTTCAGGGAGTGTTCACCAGTGATAATCCCGTTGCACCTCATCCAGACTATCAAGACTCCAATGTCTTGACCATTCAGCACATTGCACATGCTGATAGTGTCAAATGCTCCGTACTCCTTGGCCAATCCGTGCAACTCGCGATGACTGTTGATACTGGCGCTGCCGTGTCAATAATTCCTGCATCCACATTCGGAAAGTTCTTCGCACGTGAGGCATTGCAACCTTCAACAGCTAAACTCACTACTTACCTGCACGAACCGAGTACAGTACTGGGTACATTCCACACCACTGTTCGTCTTGCGAGTAATCCTGAGCGTTGTGTTCCTGCGCACATTTTCGTTGTACAGTCTGGCATCGCTATCATGGGACTAGACTTGATCCGACGCCTGGATATTACAATCACAGGTGGTAAGGTCATGCTCGTGAATGGGAACGACTCGAAACCTCCATCGTCAACTCCTCCAGCTCCGACTGCAACTACTCCATCCGACCAAACTTCAATGGACATGCGCAAACAATACCCCGAGCTCTTCAATGGGAAAGTTGGACTTGCAAAAAACTACGTACACAAAGTCAAAGTACGCCCATCCGTCCCTCCAATGCAGCAAAAACTCCGAAATTTGCCATTCTCGGTACGCGACGAAGTGGCAAATGAACTGAAACGTCTCGAAGACGCAGACATCATTGAGCGTATCGACGCCAGTGAATGGGTGTCACCACTGGTGGTCGCATACAAGAAATCCGGAAAGGTGAGACTTTGTGTGGATCTCCGCGAAGTCAACAAAGCAGTCGTTGTTGATAAGTATCCACTTCCAAACATTCAAGAACTACTAGGGGAACTCCATGGAGCTAGTGTTTTCAGCTCCCTTGACATGAATTCCGCGTACCATCAACTACTACTACATGAAGATTCGCGTGATCTCGAAGCCTTCATTACACATGTTGGTTTGTTCCGCTTCAAGCGCGTCTGTTTTGGATTGGCATCTGCACCGTCGGCTTTCCAAAAACTCATGTCGTGTGCTCTAAGTGGTCTTGCTGGAGTACAATGTTACCTAGACGACATTGTCATCTTCGGTCGCGATCAAAAGGACCATGATGCCAATCTCTCCGCAGTGCTGAACCGCCTTACAGAACTAGGTGTCACGCTGAACTATGACAAATGCCACTTCAATTTGTCAAACCTCCGCTTCTTGGGCCATACCGTTTCGTCCGAAGGCCTTACTCCAGATCCAACACACGTAGAGGCTCTACTAAATGCTCCAAAACCTACCGATCCATCTACACTCCGATCCTTCATGGGACTTGCGTCATACTACGCCAGATTTGTGCCAAATTACGCAAGCATGGTTGAACCACTCCGCGCACTCCTTCGCAAGGACACTCAGTTCATTTGGTCTGAGGCTGCTCAATCGTGCTTCGAGTTACTCAAACAGCACATTTCCAATGCTACTACACTTGCGCTGTTTGACCCCGATCTTCCTACCATCGTATCTACTGATGCTTCAGCTTACGGCATCGGTGCGGTACTCGCACAGATTAAGAACAATCACGAAGTTCCTATCGCGTTCGCTTCTCGCTCTCTTACAACTACGGAACGCAAATATTCAGTCAGCGAACGGGAAGCACTTGCATGCGTGTGGGCATGTGAGAAATGGTACAAGTACTTATGGGGCCGTCAGTTTACACTTCGAACTGATCATCAAGCTCTAACTACATTGCTGTCCACACGTGGCACTGGCCACAAACCAATGCGGATCGCCAGGTGGGCTGCTCGTCTGCTGAATTTCAACTACACTGTCGAATTTCGTGCTGGTGCGCACAATAGAGTGGCTGACGCTCTATCTAGACTGCCACTGCCTACTACAGTGCACGCAACCGAACATACTGATGATGAAATCATCGTCCAGTGGATTTCAGCACTACTTGTTGATGCTTCCGCTATCACCAAAGCTGACCTCCAAAGTGCTACAAGGACAGATACAATCCTTAAGTCCGTGTCGGAATACATCACATCCGGTTGGCCTGCTAAACAGCACATTACAACTGAACTACAACCCTACTTCAACCTCCAGGATGAACTTTCAGTTGCTGATGACTGTATTCTGCGAGGTGACCGTTTTGTCATACCTACTGCTCTACAGTCTAGCCTGATTACCATTGCGCACCAAGGACATCAGGGAATTGTACGCACCAAGCAACGACTTCGTGACTGCTATTGGTGGCCAGGTATGGGCAAACAGATAGAACACCAAGTTCGTCACTGCGCAGCTTGTCAAGTCAGTGACAAGACAGCATACATTCGCACTCCACCATTGCAACCAGTACCTCTTCCAGCTCATCCATGGCAAAAGATTGCCATTGACATTTGTGGTCCCTTTGAGCATGGTCCACAAAACTGCCGATTTGCAATCGTCTTGATGGACTACTACAGTAAGTGGCCAGAGGTCGCGTTTGCCGCTGATGCCACTTCACATTCCGTCTGCTCCATGCTTGATTCTATTTTTGCGAGGGAAGGGTTGCCTAACGAGTTGGTTTCTGACAATGGGAGCCAGTTCGTCTCCACAGAGTTCGAGTCTTATTTGATCCAGCGAGGAATTAAGCACATCCGCACTTCACTTTACCATCCGCAGGCAAACGGACTCGTCGAGCGATTTAATCGCGTTCTCAAACAAACTCTCCAAATCGCAACTCGCGAACACCGACCTTGGAAAACTGCAACGCTTGAGTTACTGACAGCATACAGATCCACCGCTCATGCAACTACAGGTAAATCGCCAGCAGAACTCTTGCACAGTCGCCGAATGACAACTACCCTGAACATTCGCCCTACAGAGATCAGCCAAGAAGAACCAGCTGATATTCGTGATCGCGTTCGCAGTACTCAGACAAAGTACAAGCGATACACAGACCAGAAGCGTGGTGCAGTACATCCGCGTTTCCGAACAGGAGACTATGTACGTGTTAAGAATCCTAGACATGTGCATAAGGGTTCAAATCGCTATGGACCTCCTCAACGCATCACACAGTCCAAGGGTCCATCCACTTACCAGCTTGAAGATGGCCGAACATGGAATGCAACACACCTTACCATGACTCATAAACTGCCAAACCAAATGCCTACGACTCCAAGACAACCAGCTACACCCAAACCACAGAACCGTCCTAAGAGACAAGTTAGACAGCCTACTTGGGTTAAAGATTACCATATGTAAATTGTGAAGTTCTGTTCATTCCATGTGCCAGTTAAACACACAAGTGTATGTGTTTAAGTAATTGAACTGTGATTTTCCTAATTTGATCTGTTGAACATTCCAAACATTCCAATGTCTCTGATTCCTCATTTTGTATTTTGATTCTTTGCAAATGATCCAAGTATGGTTTCAAAATGTAAGCTAGTTGCTCCTGTAATTACTCATACAGTTTCCTCATTTTTGAGAGGGGAGAATGTTGTGTTCACAGTCTATTTGCATAGCGCCCTCTGGAGTAGAAATGTGTGGGCTGCGCCATGTTGGAATTGTACGAATAAAGTGTTACCTCGAATCTGAATTGCTCTCTCTCAGTACTGGATTTATAACCCATTTACACACCCTGGATATAACACACACCCAAGCTGCAGCGCTGGTGGGAGGGTACCTTTGTGGTGGTAAGGAGGATAAATGACGTCACGTACCAGATACAGAGGTCTCCACGGGCCAAAGCAAAAGTAGTAGACTACAACCGACTAAAGCAATACCTGGGCGATGCCAAGGTGGATTGGTGGAGACGCGCAGCTCAGGGACCTTTGGGGGTGAAGGATCAAGCCTCGGAGGCAGGACTACCAACAACCCTTGACCGACGGGAGGTTATGCTTCCAGATCCAACAACCACTACTAACCCGGACGACCCACCAGCCGACGGGGGTGACCAGCGTACTAAATAGGACCCACCTCCGGCTCGGAGGGGGCGGGAGACATCACTGCTAGACACAACGGCGACGGCTGCCCCTTGTGAGCGGAGTGGTACAGGAACAGGATCCCGGACAGTAGCCAGTGAGACCGGGGAGGGAAGGAATGCCAGCCTCAAGTACAGTCACCAGGGGTGGTGGGCGAAAAATTGTTCGACCAAGCCGTTATTGCTTACAACTAACTGACTCGCCACTCTCTCCTTCTCCTTGCAGGATGGCTCCAGTGGTTTGCCTCAACTGCGGAAGGACCTTCGGCAGGAACCGGAGTCAGAACAGCAGACATCGATTCGGCCAGGCCGCAGGTAGAAGCCCCGGAACCCAGTCCCGACCGACGCTGGCGGAGGAGGGAATGCAGACAGAGTCCCCGGCGTCTATAGCGAGACCCCCATTCTACTGTGGAATGGGCGGACTCGAGTTCTTTCTGCAGGGTCCCAAGTGAGTTTTCCGGACGGAATCAGGCAACCAAGCGCCACAAGAGAGGCCCACACACATATGGAAGTTCTCCTCTGCGAGCACCATGGGGATGAGTGGTGCCTGGAACGGATGGCTCACGGTAATGACGCCGACGGCTCCCGTTGTGGCGGACGCGGGTGGTCCACACCTACGAGGTCCCTGGGCGTCTTCTTCAGACATACCAGGGACAGCAGTATGCCCAGTATTACGTGGACCCATCTGTGTCGAGTCTGCCCAACCCTCACTTGGGGGACTACTCCCGGGCAACTCCGCCTACACGCTACCCTTCCAATGTCCCTCAGGCCTTCTGGGACCAACTGTTGCGGCAGACAGAGGTACAACGAGGACCACCACCTGCCACAAGACCGGCCCTAACCATCTACGAACATTCTTTTCTTTTTGGTAGTTTTTGATTGTTTTTGTTGTTCTCATTTCTTTTCTAGCTTTCTTTGTATGAAGACCTGCAGGCGCTTCCCGGACCGGAGTCTCCCTGGTTGTCCGTTTGCCGATGCTCGCCGCCTTGATCGAGGACTAACAAGGGTCCTCGGAGGGGGCGGTGTGGCTTGGTGCACATGTCTCATACTTTTTTTTTACATTTCAGAGGAATCGGTGTTTGCTAATATGCTCCAGTGTAATATTAGTTTCTTGGACCCTTTGTTTTTAGTTTCAAGCAATAGATCTGTTGCAATGTAGCCATCTTTGAGGTGCATGCCTGGTTCTACAGTGATGTGCATGGGTAAAAAAAACCTCACGATGGCTGCTAAATGAAAAAAAGTCTTTTAAGAGCAGAACAAAACTTGGCCCTCAAGGACACCAAGAATGGCTGCAGTTTTAATAATCGCCACTAGGTAGCATAGAAAATGCATTTAAATTTTCAAAAAAAAATTAATGTATAATAACTTTAAATACTTGTTTTCTTGTTTAATACCACATTAAAGAAAACTGTTGACATTGAATATTTTAGGCAGTTACTTCCCTCTTGATGCCAGCCCATCCCTTGAAAATGCATGTATTTGTAGATTTGAAAATGTTAAGATTGTTTCAGATTATACCCCACGTTGTGTTCATCCCAGACTTAAGAGTATTTTATTGTTATTCCAAGGATTCAGAGCCATTTCTCTTGTGATTTCCTGCTCAAAATAGTAAGCCTCAAAATTGCCATAAAAGTTGCTCTTTTGTGTTAATTTTTCTACTTTTTTTAATATATATTTCTTTGAGTTTGTACCTGTCAGCCCATGATCAATGAGCCAACAACACAAATATAACTAAGGGACTAGAGGACCGGACGGACGATGAACTTGAAAGGCCCGCGCCGCACGCTTCGCCTGGCTGGCCTGGCAACAAATTGGTTTTAACAGAACGATTGAGGGCGCGGCGCGGCCGCAGCCGCCTCCGAATGATCTATTGGCTGCGTCCGTTAAGCCACGTCCACAGCCGCAGACGCTGCCAGCGGCCACAGCCGCAACATTCGGACGCAGCCTTAGGCTCCGGCTTCGACTTATGAGGCTTCGTCTTTGTGCGGCTCCGCACCAAGCTAGCTCACAGCAGCTAAAAGCTTTGGAACGCCGAGGCTTCGGCTGGCTTCGACTGTAGCGGCTCCAACCATTCGCGATGCTTCGGCACCGTTCATCGTTGCGCGTTGTATAATGACATTGTGAGGCTATGAATGACAATGATATTGATACTTTTAAAAGCGCCAATTATTGGCTTTATTTGTGCCATTTCGATAAAAAAGCGGACTTTAGCTGCCATGCAGAAATTTTTAAAAAGTGATATTTTGATTCTGCCTTGAAATACTCTGCGGGAAAAAAAACGATGGGTAAACATCCAGGCCTACATCAACAAATTAGATTGTTTTGTTTTTCTATGAATAAATTTTTGACTTTATTTCATTCCAACGAAAAAACCTTCTTTTTCACTATTTTTTGAAGTCTGTCACTGTTTTTTTTTTTGGGGGGGGTTACTTTTAGCGATACTGATTTGGCGGGAACCAGCCTAGCCCACGAGAACGGGAATCATTGTCTGGCAGCCACTAAATCGAAATAGGTATTCAATAACTAAACCTTTTTTTCGGTCAATGTCTCTCATTCAAAAGTGAGTAATTTTTTATTGATTGAAAAACAGCAATCATTACAAAAAAAAATTCCATTCATCAGCCATCCGTTGAGGATTCTTTTACCCATGCAGATCACTGTAGAACCAAGCAATGCACGTCAAAGATGACTGCATTGCAGGAGATTTATTGCTTGAAATTAATTTTACACTGGAGCTATTAGCAAACACTGATTCCTCTGAAATGTATAAGAAGTATGAGACATATCCCTTTTAGTAAAATTGTTTGCGAGGTGCACTTTTTTATATTTAAAATGTTTCATGCTTTTCCTGAAAACAGTTACTGAGGGTGCTGTTGCTGTGATGTCACTGTCGGAACACACTCTTCAAACTGTGAGACCGAAATTCTGCTTATTAACCCTCCGACGCAGAAAGCCCATTTAGTAACACACTTACAGTAAGGGGTCCCCCGGGGACCCAAATATTTAGCGCCACGGTTTGAGGCTACACAACACTGTATCCACATGAACACAATCTTGCCATGTCTGTAGACTAAGGAGGTGTATTTGCATACATAGTCTGTGGTCAAGCCGTGCACTGTCTACTCGCAAGTGACCTTGTTTTGTGCGCGTGCATATGGTGGGTCCCCGGATGGGCAGAAATTGCGTCGGTCCTTAGCCCAGGTTGTCATGCTCAGATATGCCTGACCCGGGGTCACACACTAAAGGTGACTGCATATATCCGTAGAGGGTGTCTCTTGCTAGGATTAGATGGAACATCACCAGAATTGGTTTGAATTTTTTTTTTAAATTAAGGTAATTATCCAAATTGGGTCCCCAAAAGGGCTAGATTCTGCGCCGGAGGGTTAAAACATTTGTGTACAGTGTGCTCAGAAAAATAACCACAGCAGACTCCTTAGTTCTGGTGATTATTTTTGCTTCTCAGCAATATTCTTCCGTTAGCTGCTGAATGATGTTGCCCCCTAATACTCTGTGTCTGAGCTCGATGAGCTTATAGAAGTTCAAATGCGCTGAAAAAAACCTGCAGACACACATAACAAAATATGTCCTATAATTGTCAATTCTTTGGTTTAGTTTATGTATTGAGAAAGCGCCGGTGGACCTTTTACCTCAGTCAAAAATTGTCTTTGTGTAAAATGTCAGCTTTCCTTTTATTTTCCTGCTTCTCCCTTTGTTGTTGCTTATTTGATAAAAAGAACCGTTCGGATATAGTTCAATATTGCCGAGACCGTCATTTAATTAACATATATTGTATGTTTATGGTTTTATCGATTTTTTCAATAAATCCTACGAACCAATAAACAAATTACTATTTTTTGCCCAAGGCATTAACAAACCCCCGTTTTAAAACTAGGTCGTTAAAAAAGGGGGGAGGTTGATATTAAATTAAAAAGGACTAAAGCTTTGAAACTTTTCAATAAAAGTATTTGTGCGTCCTTGCGTTATTGCCACGCGTATTACCCTGGATTAAGTTCACAATCGAAATCATTATTTGAATATTTTCTTTCAATGATGCCCCTGTCCATGAAATTGGTTTCGTGCACGTTTGAGACATGCAGGTTCTGTGGTCGCTTGGGTGTAAGTGTGTCTTTTTCGACAAGTATTTCTTCATCTTTAGGACCCTGAGAATGAGCCACAGCAATCGAATTGGGCATCACAATTAATTACAAGAGACAGAAACCCGTCCCGGGATAAGAGGACTCTAAGGCACTTTGGCACTCCACTTTGGCACTTTTGGAAATCCGATCGATTTCAGACTTGGTACATACTTAGACCACCACCCACAAATGGTCCTAGATGAAATTTGTGATCGTGGCGTCATCAGGTGTCAAGTTACGTCACATTGTACTTCGGAAGTACAAGTCCGATTGGGTTGGAACGTGGTATGCACATACACACTAGGATGTGTTACAGATGAAAATTGAAGTGACGTCATCATGAAGTCATCACGTTATGTGACGTCACATTAAAAGGGTAATTTTCTAAGGCCTATATCTACAGAACCATAGGTCTGATTGGAATGTTACTTGATAGGTACCCATGCTGTAATTTGTAAAAGATGAAAATTCAAGAGATATGTCATCATCAAATGCCATGTATATAATGTACAGAACTATATTTTCGATTTGACATGCACGTATGATATGCTGTTATAGATGACATTTGAAGTGAGGTCATCATGCGTTCATCACGTGCACAGAGTCATTTCAAATATCCGAAACAACTTGTGTTTATCCACAAACACATTTCTAGTTTTGCTTGCTTTTTTTTTGAAAATTTAACTTGGAAGTTATATTTTATGGGAAACGTAGGGGGTTCATTTTTGGTAAATTTTCCAGGGACAGACCGACCGACCGACCACCAAGTGGAGATCCGGCCAGAGCTTAAAAGGGGATACATGTACCTGAAGATAATCTGGGAGTCTTCATGCACATTACTAGGGGGGGGGGGGGGGGCGGGAATGGACGGCCGGTGTGAGCGGAATTTTCGTCCCCCGTACAAAATCTCCGTATCCTAGGAATGAGTGTACGGCCGGACCGGATATCCTTTTAGGATATTTTGTCCACCCGTTTTAAGGCAAATACAGGCCATGCCCGACCGCTGTTCTGATACATTTCTCAACGAATTATTGCGACTGGGCCACAGGGTGATGCAAAAAGAAGGAAACCCACTTTTGACAGCACTTTTCGCCTACTTGTTGAGCATGTTTTAAAAAAAATTCAATTTAATGGTATTAAAATATTGATCTTTAAACATAAGTGACGAAAAAAATGTCCTATTGTCTCTGAGATATGGTAGTTTAAAGATTTCATGTGCCAAACCTGTTTGTCCACGGACGGCTTTATTCCATCCACTTGACTAACCTCCGGGGCTTGAAAACAAAAAAACACTACACTAGACTTACACGTGGACAACCGTGAGTTTGGTGACTTGTATTCAAATTAGCAGAATAACACTATTCTTGCGATTTTTTTTTAAAGATTTTTTTTACCACGTATGAATGAAGAGCCATCGGCCTACTTCACTACATTATAAAAAGAACATTCAAATAAGTTAAGTAGTTATATTAAAATTCCTGTCAAACTTCCTTCTTTTTGCACCAGCCTGTACATTATATGTTTGTCAATATGTGATCATGATTATTAACACTGTGTTGGTAGTGAGAGTTCTAATTTTGTGTGCCTGTGAAAAGTAGAATACCTACTACGTACTTCCACACTAGAGAAGCGGTTACGGTAGTGTGGGTGTGAGTTCGGATGGGTGTTTTGAAAAGACACCAACGGTCATGCCCCTCTTCATTAATAAGCCTATAGGTTTTTAAATAGGTTTTGAAAATCAAAAATTAGGTTTTTAAAGGTTTTCCAAGCGCCAGAATATAGGGATAAAGTAACATGTTTTTAGAATTCAAAACCATGCAATATTTCAGCACGAGGTAGCAGAAATATCGCGAATAGACCTTTACCATGCTGCCACCATTTCAGTCATGTTCCCTGTATTTAATAACATTACTGAATGATAATGTTTTTACGTAAAAAGGAACCAGACTATTTTTACTTTCAGCCTCGCTTTGGTTATGTTGATTTGAATGGGGAAAAATCAAGATGGCCGCAACATGATAATGGTCTATGCTTAGGCTCCAGTTCTTCACATAAGGTAAACGTACCCATTTCAAATTCAATGTAGTTGTTCGTTGTCAATGTAGGTAGGCCTATATTGACATGTTGTTATTTTGGCATTAATATTACTAAACTGTGGGTTACTCCATTCTTAAAATTGTCTTTAAAATTTGTGAAAATGTATGCAAGAATACAAATATAGCTTTTTACATGTATAGGTTACTTTAAAAAAAAAAATAAGATGGTTCCAAGTTGAAAAATAGGGGTTTTTTTCGTTTTAGGTTTTGTATCTTTGAAAGGTTTGGCTGTGAAACCTGTATATTATTTGGGGGTACAGATATGGCCTATACGAAAATACACAAAAGCACAAACCTTAAACAATAAGTAGTATCCTTCAGCACGGACGTTCAATATTTATTAATTACGAATCACTTGTAAAAAAAAAACCACTCGACAGGAACTAAAAACAAACGTTAAGGTAAAATTGATCGTAAAACATTAGAGACAACAGAAAAAACGAACTCATTCTTATAATCTGTACACGTCGCATGCAAAAAATATAAAACTGAAGACTGGGACATAATCAGCTTCACTCATGTGATTATATACTCCGTCAAAAAGTACACGAAGCACTGTTAGTCGATGTACGAATGGATCACAAGTACATCACAATGTAATTCACCGTCAATTGAACAGGTGATGAACAATTACATGTATACATTATGTACATTGTATAAGGAATGCCTTTGTCACTCTTCATTTGAACATCTTGTCTGATGACTTGGGACTGGCTTGTGATTGACTTGTGATTGACTTATGATAGACTTGTGAGGAACTTGTAATTACTTCTTATCCATCACAAAGTGTCTCGACTTCAACGCTGACATATTTATCCCAAATACTTGGTCGCTTAGTCTTCGCATCCTTTGGTTAATTTTTTGTTTAGTGGGAAAAAAAACCTCATCTGTCAAAGTTTTGGCCAATACGACCTCTGTGGGTCCCGCTCCAATACTTGGAAAAAGTGACCTAAAATGTTCAAAAGGTTACTTCCCAAACGTCTGTACACAATTCATTAAAAATACACTGACTTTTCCCCTACTTTGTCTGTGTTTATTAACACAAGACCATTTAAAATTAATTGGGGACTTTCTGCCGCAATATACAAACATACATGCTGAGAACAAAATACTCCTTGATAAATCACTTGATTTTTTCTCAATTCCCAATCTGCAATAAATTGTCAGGATAATAAACTAGGGAAACTGCGTCCCAAACGTATTCCAGTTGTTTTTCTATTAAAACAGATTCTTTGGGGGAGATCGGGGTTTATGGGATAATCACGTCCAATTGGTCAAGATAACACTGGTTCTGATTGTTTACAAATAAAATTGTCCTTAAATTTAATTACTATTTCTGAATGTTTCCATATTCAAAACTGAAAAGTTTATTGAAAGGTATTCATGTATGCACATACATTTGTGCAGTTGTAATTTAATGAAAATCAAGTCTCATATCCCAAATTCATCTTAAGTATATACAAAGGTTTTGATACTCCCCATCTTGCTTTAAGAAAAAGTAAGTGGTACACATCAGATGATGACATACTAAAATGAGTACATTGTACAAATACATGAACAGATACACAAGTTTTCTAGACACTCCACCTCTTTTGATTCACTCAGTATCATCATTTGATGCATACATGGATTGGTTCCTTCTCTTCAGCTTCTTACTACCGGAAGACCCTGACTCTGTACTACTAGATTCTCCCGTTGATGACAAACCATCTGTCTTTGCTTCATCTGCTGGTGAATCCTCCTCTTGTGAGGAGTAGATTTCAAGATTCCGCCGCTTGAACTTTCCCATCGTTAAAACCGGGGTCTGCATTGTTGCATCTCTGACCAGCGAATCCTTCAGGGGTGTGCTGCTCACAATCTCGGCATCCAGGGAGATTTTGTGGCGCAGGGTTTCTTCCAAATTTGGCTCTAGACGTCCTCCAGGAGTGGGAAAGTCGATTAAGAGAGGCCGATCTACAGAACGATCTCTTAAGCTTGTCCTTAGAACCTGCTCCGCTTCCTCTTCTTCGTCATCTAAACTAATTTCGGCAGGATTACTGGAGGAGTTGGCAGTGTCCTCTTCACTGCCTTCCTCGATGGAGGTATCAAAGGGCACAGTGAAGGAATCATAGATGGCACTATCCTCCTCAGTATCGATCGTTACATCCCTCTTGCCGGTAGTCCTGAGTGGAGACGGGGTTGCTAGGATACTCTGACCTGTGCTCTCCATGATCGTGGCGAACGGGTCGGATATAGACAGTTTGGAGCAGAACGTTGTCGTCTGCGGATTTACTGCAGCCTGGGGCTGGGTCGTGTTCCTGACTGGTTTGGCTGGATCATGCTCTCGCACTGTCTTGGTGAAATTTAGCGGGATCTTCAAGTCATCTTGGAAGATTTCCCGAACAGCTGATAGCTCCTCAAGTGAAGCACTGTAATCCCACCTTTTATTCACCCAAAAAATCAAGAAACTAGAGTTACATTTAATTTAATTAACCCTTCCATGAAATATAAATTAGCCCCATCACTACACTCAACACTGGGTGGGCGACAACACTGTGCATTTCCAATGTAACACTGCACACACATAACACAACAATCATGGCAGTAATCTCTCAAAACATCACAGGGTAGAGCTTATCTCTCCTGCTATTTAAGCAATCTGCCACAGACAGTCAAAATTCACTTCACTTCCCCTGCTATACTTTTAACAAAGGCTAGTTACCAGCAGTCAGATCATATGTCAAGCAAATACTGTCTAGTCAAACTCAGTCAACAGACAAAGCAGGCAAGTTGTGGTCACAGCTGGTTTATCACTCTCCTCGAGTCAAAGCATAGCTGTATCAAGTTACTTAAACAGTCACAGACTGTCAATCCTGCTTTGAGTGGGCTGGGAATTTTTAGGGTTGAAAACAGTCACTTGATTGATTTTGAATGCAAGGACAACTTGGCACGAATGTATGTTTGCATAGGGGGGGTTAATGGATCTCTTGCCCTCCATTGGGGAGACCCAATTGTGTATTGAATACAATCCAGAAGACGATTTGAAGGCCTGTGTACATGGAGAAGATCATGTGAACCATTTAAAATGTACGGTCCGTGCCATTTTCAAATGAGGTCTTTTCTGAGTTCCTATTGTTGTATAAATAATAAAAAATAATAAACAAATAAAAACTCTGCCCAAGTAGGCCTATATTTACGGAATAATTTCTTTACAAATCTGAGTTATTTGCAGCTCAACAATCAGGCAGTTATCACAAGGTAGATTGGTTCCCGCCTCCTCATCAGTATTAATAATATAGGAACATGGAATCAGTCAAAAGTCTGATTGTGTGAAAAGGCCACCTACAATCAAAGCCTTTTGGAGAGGGTTACTGACGCCCAACATAGAGAAAGATACATTGTTGTTCTTTTCTTGTTTTTTTTCACAAAGTAAGGGTTTTTGAAGAGCATGGAATTTACATCTTAAACCCTAACCCTACTCAATCCTCCAAAATCCTCCAGGTGGTTTTTGGAGGATTTTGGAGGATTGAGGCTGAATGGCAAAAGTGTCAGTTGATTTTGGAAGATTTTGGATTGTGTCAGGTTTGTAAGCTGTTTATTTTTAGTCATGCATAACCGAGACCTACACCATGCTCGATATCATCCGCACTGCTTCTGAATGTCTTTGGCACTGCCAACCCATTAACAGTGATTATTGGAGGATTTTGAAGGATTGAGGCAATGGGCACCCCTCCACAAACTCAAGAAATAACAGATGATTTTGGAGGATTGAGGCTGTACTTAAATTTGTGCATGGTGGCAATTGAAAGATTTTGCAGGATTGAGGATGGTTGCTAGCCCAAACGGCCTAGGGGTTAGGGTTAATGGCAAGAACTAACTTGACGCGGTATGTGCTATGTGCTCAAAACACAACTGCAACAGCTGCGACCAAAAGGGCATGCCCCTTTAAGTGTGTAATCAGGAAAATATAACGGACACTAATACTGACCTGTTGTTGTACTGCTTATTAGGCATGTGGACAATCCTGTCATTAGTTGTAAGAAGAAGCTTCGTGGATTGTAATATGGCAAGCCACTCCGTGTCATAGGTCAACTCCCAGGGTGCATCAGTCTTGTGGGGTATGTCTACCACCTAAATTTAGAAAATGAAAATATGAAAATGGTCATTGTATCCACAGTGAAGATTTTGGTTATTAATCCCTACTTTACCTTGGAATCCAAAAATATGGCAGGTGTTCTCTGTATTGGTTTATATACCTGTTATATATATATATATTATCCTAGCCAGGCATATGGTATTCAATATTATTTCTAGAGGACATCATGATATGCAGATAAAAACATGTGTGACACTGCATGATCAAACTGACATCTCTGCAAAGTTAAAATAATATCACTTTGAAGCACTCTTTTACTTTTTTTTTTTAAATAAACACCAGAGGGTCTCTGGCTAAATTCTCTTTTATTTTATACTGCATGGAGCAACATGGTACATGCGTTCAAATCCTGACAGGGAACACTGTCCCTGTGTTCTTGGTCAAGACACTTTACTACAATAGCCTCTCACCATCCAGGAGTATGAATGGCTACCTGTGCGGGTAGAGACCAGACTGCGCTGATCTCAGCTGCAGAAAACTGATCTCATGGCCTGATAAACAGGGGTAGTAACTGTGAACCTCTTTGAGACCTAGCATTGGTGGAAAGAGCTATATACATGTATATATATACATGTAAGTGACAATCACAGAGCTTAGCTTACGACCTAACAAGATCTCACCTGAAGAAACTTCCTCCTTGGCAGGCACTTGTCAAGTGCCAGGAACTTGGTTGTCCTTTCCTCTCCACCTTCAGACTATGAATTTGTCACAAAACAAGTACATGAGGAAATCAAAGTTACCAAACCTTTAATTCACTGGTGAAACATGCTATCAAAATCAATCATAAAATGATCATTACACGTAAATGTATGCAAGAAATATTAACTTCAGGGATCTGAATTGTTAGAATGCAGATGGTAGAGTACATTGGAAAAATAAATTCTGTGATCTGATTGTTAGTTTAACCCTTTGGTGCACCGATTATTGGGATAAGATGCAGCAAAGGGTTAACTCTGATATAGCAGCGGGTACCACAACCAATATCTTTATTTAGGAACTTCAGGCATGCAACTGGGAAGTCACAAAAAAGAGGAAATTCAAATCTTTCCCAGACTTTGTACAGTGTTTTTCTATTTTCAATGGCATACATGAGAAGTGAAAAAAGAGGAAATCAGCTGATCCGAGGAAAAGTTGCATACCTGGAACTTGTGTTGAAGTGAGTGTAACTTTAATATAGAAGCTTTTCCCTTTAACCAACATATTTTTATACAATTAGCGGACTCAGTATTGTCTTGGAGCTTGGAAGACGAAATTCACAAGCAAGTGGGAGTGGGACTTGAACCCATGACCTCTTGCTTACTAGTGTACCTCACACAAGCTCTCACACAGCACTGAGTAAACTTTGCTTATAGAACTTATAAAATCAGCGAAGGGCAACACCCGAATTTCAATTAAACATTTGCCTAATACATACTCCATTATACAAACATTTAAAAAAAAACGGCCACAGTGCCAGAACAAGCTCGATTGGATCTCAGGAAGCTGCAGGTCAATGAATTTGTGTTCATGCAGGAGTCACGTGATTGTGCCATGCAATTTCTGGAAGTAGTGTTTTGAGTAAAGGTTTTTGATCCCAGTGACCCCATGACCTTTGACCCCAGTTTGGTCATGAGACATGTTGGGGCTGAGCTACTGTACTTTTGACAAAGTTTGGTTGTAGTCGGTCAAAATATGTAGGAGCAATGGACAATGTTAACGATTGTTACTAATTCATTCATTTAAAGGGAAAATACAACATTTGCTAACATCAAAAAATAAAACTACCAAATCATTTTGAAATACCTTGCTGGACTGTTAGTGAATGACAGTGTAAAGCATCCTGTAAAATCATGGCACCTGGTATACTGTCATTTTCAAGAAAAGTGGTATTTTTGTATCAATTTCCAACGCTGATCGGCCGATCAGCATTGGAAAAAACTGGCTTTTTTTCAAATACTGGCCCCAATTGACCATCGCACTTGTTTGCAATCGATTACACACCTATGAGCCGGTACGAGCCAGCTAGACTGGTTCCCTGACCTTACAATTCCCCAATGTATGTAAACTGCTCTGTTTCTTCTTATATGGAGTAAGGGAACCAGACTACAGGAAAATGATTGTTTTTCTTGGTTTTTATAGCATTTTTGAACCCAAAACCTCAAAAAAGTCAGTGTAACTATATTTGCTATATATTTCCAACCCCCCAATTCCATCCATTTCTGAAAATTACAGCAAAAGCAAATGATGTATATTCCCTTTAAGTTTAACTCTAGCTGCATACAGCAGCTGTTGAGCGGGCATGGAGAGTCAGTCCAATGCCCAAGTAACTAACTAACTAACTAATGGAGAGACATGATTATTGTTGAGCTATCCCACAGCTAAAAATGTAACGTGGTCATGGAATGGGATTAATTCATTGCATTTTTTTTTTCAATTCAATTTATGCTACTAATTGATCAGCCACTTCGATCTGGAAATTTACCTCCATGTTTCAACGAGGATTACAAATCACAGCACAGATTTTGTGTACTTTGAATTCTTGGACACAATATGTCACCACGATATTACCCACCCCATGTGAAACTGCAGCGGCAAATTTGACGTGCAGATGAGCAGCAAACCAGTAAGCAGGCTTGAGATGATGTAACAGCTCCTCATTGCATGGCGAACCTGTTCATGTTAAAAAAAAAAAAAGTAGCAAATGTTTGAATTTTTGTGCACTTTTTTCAGTGGGAGGGGGGGGGGGGGGGTTGTGAGGGGCATTTGAAATGATAATCTATTTACATTTTACTGGAGCTCAAAATGTCTTAGATTTTACAGATTTTATACTAGATCCCCCTCCCCAAACTACACAATGGTTGCGTTTCGAGTAAGGCTCAGATCATAAAGCACTTTTTGCTATAGAGAATGTGGCGCAAACTTTATGTTGTCAACTAACTGTTCAATGTGAAATGCGCTGATATCCTAATAACGAATTTGCTCAACTATGAAATATGTGTGAAGTATGACCTGGCCTTAACTGTGCATGCCTTTCCTGACGCAATTAGTTCTCTTGTAAATATTATCGGATAATTTCAGGCAATTTAAGTTTCATGATAAGAGATCCCTGTTGTCTGAGCTCACGAATATGTTGCTATGAGTGAAGTACACAAAACAGGTATGCTGGGATATAGTATAACTAAAACTAATGCCGTGGCCTCGTGGTCTGGAGCATTAACTCGTGTCTGCCGGTAATTCTGCAGGTTGTGGGTTCGATTCCAGCCTGGGGTTATGGTGTGTGTGCCCTTGGGCAAGGCACTTTGTCTCTCATTGCTTTTTCCCACCCAGGAGTATTTGGCTACATCGAGCTGTATACTCCCCAGGGAGCTGAGATGGTATTTGCAATGTTTCATTGGCCCAATGATCAGGGGTATTAATGCAAAGAGCTTTGATTTAGGTTAAAGGGAAAATACATCATTTGCTTTTGTTGTAATTTTCAGAAATGGATGGAATTGCGGGGTTGGAAATATATAGCAAATATAGTTACACTGACTTTTTTGAGGTTTTGGGTTCGAAAATGCTATAAAAACCAAGAAAAACAATCATTTTCCTGTAGTCTGGTTCCCTGACTCCATTTAAGAAGAAACAGAGCAGTTTAAATACATTGGGGAATTGTAAGGTCAGGGAACCAGTCTAGCTGGCTTGTACCCGTTCATAGGTGTGTAATCGATTGCAAACAAGTGCGATGGTCAACTGGGGCCAGTATTTGAAAAAAAGCCAGTTTTTTCCAACGCTGGTCGGCCGATCAGCGTTGGAAATTGATACAAAAATACCACTTTTCTTGAAAATGACAGTATACCAGGTGCCATGATTTTACAGGATGCTTTACACTGTCATTCACTAACAGTCCAGCAAGGTATTTCAAAATGATCTGGTAGTTTTATTTTTTGATAATTGCAAATGTTGTATTTTCCCTTTAAAAGCGCTATACAAGTACTTGTTATTATTAAGATAATCATAGAGATTTTTACACAGATCACAGAGTGATCTTAACCAACCTCAGCTGTCTTTAAAAGCCAAAACAAACTAAGTCTACAGTTACGTAATGCTTTATTATTACTACTGATCTTTGATCAGTAGCATCTTCTCACCCAGTGTGTTGCTTTGCACGTCGTCTCTAAAAAAAGTCTTTTCCCTGAGGAGCCGTTGTGTGTTACCATGGTGATATATTCCTCGTGGCCAATCATGTGACATCATGATGTCAATTGGTTGCGCTATCTTGGGATAAGAATGGTTGAGACGGATGCATTTTGCATTAGGGAATCAGAAAAAAAAGATGCCTCTGGAAAGTTGAAAACTGAAAGATTTGTGTCTATCAACTTCCATCTCGGGAATGAACCAAATGGATAACAAATATTATCTGTAAAGAAAACGTCACTGGGTTTTATGAGACCTCTCCCAGTAAAGATTTCTTCTTTAAATCTTCATTGCTAAATAACCCTACATACAGGTGTGCATACAATATTATTAACCCTAACCTTCCCAAATCCTCCAAAATCCTCTTGGCAAAATGGAGGATTTTGCAGGATTGAGGCTATATGGCAAAAATGTGTGGCTGATTTTGGATGCACTGTGTCAAAGTCTTGGGCCCAACCTTGTGTTGTTTATGTTCAGCCAGGCATAAAGTTAGGCCTACATTTTACTTGAAATCCTCTGCACTGCTCCAGGATGTCACTGGCTCTGCCTCATAATATTGACAGTGATGCTAAAGGAGTTTGCAGGATTGAGGCAGTGGTCACTCCTCCGAGGACTACATTCAAGAAATAACAGAGTATTTTGCAGGATTGCGGCTGTATGCAATTTGTACATGGAGGTAGTTGGAGGATTTTTCGAAAATGCTAGGGTGTTTGTGTTTAAGTAGCATTTTCCACAGAATTCAACCATTAGGGCTCGAAAACACGTTCACCACAAAATGATAATACATGTACATGTATTTGGAAAGAATGGTAAAAATATCAAGGTTCACACAACCATATCTTAATAATTTGATGTTTCCAAAAAATCACCGTGCAAAGGAGTACAAATTTTGGGTCCTCAAAATGTGAGCTGCTTGTTGTATTTCCAGTTACATTTTTTTCTGTTCACGCCATTTGAGCAAATCTGGCATTTTCAACAAATCTGTCACCTCTATGATAGGCATGTTATGCAGCGCCAGTCTTACGTTGACAGATTTGCTAACTTCGATGACCTTTTTCACTGCTTGAAATGCGTATAGACTGCATACAAATTTGTGATGTGACGGATGTACAAAATGTAAACAAACAGTGTTTGTCAACATTTTCTCCGTAAATGTATTACATTATGTGGATCTTTTGTAATACCAAGACCTTTTAAATATGGCCAGGAAAAAAATATGAAACACTACATTTTGGCAATCTCTGGATGCAAGTGTTTTTTTAGGCTGAAAATCCATGTGTCCGTCATGCGTTAAGCGCAGCTCGCACTGTGTGTTGCGTGAAAATCGGTTGTTAAAAAAGCAACGCGCATACGTCCATGTATCCCTATTGCGCAGTGCATTTTCTGTACTGCGCTATCTGTTGAAATTTTAAACGCTTCAGGTAGCGATTGAAACGGATGACGCATACAATACGCATGGAATTTGTTGCCCGCAACTTCAATAAATGATGCAGTGGTTGGGTAAAAAGATAAATATTTATGGTTGGCTTTAAAACCAAGCAGTTTATATGTGAATCTTATTGAAACAAGCTAGGGCCTGCCTCGATTTACATTTTCCAATATTCCATTGTTAAAACACCGAATATTTATCCCTTGTGAACTTTATTGAGAAGTTATAATCTTGTCGACGTTTATTTTGTAAAATGTGTACTTTCCCAAAACTAGTCCAAATTTCATTGAGACTTGATTTTTCTACTCCCAAAACTGCTGCATGCTCTCTTTGTGAGCTTTTACATCCGTCAAGTGTCCAGATAAATACGTACACATGGAGTTACAGAATACGCATTACAAATATGCAACTGGTAAACGCACAACGCAATACGCACATTGAAAACGGACACATGGATTTTAGGCCTTAATGTCTGAAGTCTGTGTGTTGCTTATGAATAAGGTTCCAAACAAAGTACTATCAGAAGCCTACGCCTATACATGAATATGCAATAAAATATCTCACTATTTTTAGCTATATTCTTTTGCCAATTTAAACGCCAAACCATGAAATTATCTCAAAAATGATTTCTGGCACCTTCGATTAAGTTGGGTTTTCTTTCATGTACGTGTCCACAAATGTGCTTCCTGGCCCTTTCTTAAACCACGCCCCATCCAACCCCTTCCCCTGTTCCATCCAGTCTTTGTCCCTCCTCACCTGCTTTAGTCTGAATACCTCCAGCCCCCTCGTGTGGTAGGCACTCCTGACTGTGTCTTGTGAGTAGGGAGGGATCTCAAAGTGTCCTTTCCTGAAATCACGCTGCTTGAAGATCCCCGAGATGCCACCTATTCTGATGCCACCATAATTAACAACACTGGCATAACCTAATGGGGAAAACAAAGAACATCAGCGTTTGTTATAAAAAGATCAAAGAGTTTCATGATTCATATTTCTGTTGCTTAATTAGCTGTATTCTGCAATTTTTGTCAGATTGTTGTTGATGCATTCTGGTTTTATTTGCCGGCTGCACATTACATAGTTGCTGCATTCTACTGGATTTAAGACGCTCTATACTTTTCTGCTGATGGATTCTGTTGAATTCAACAGGCTTTACACTTTGCTGTTGATGGATTCTCTTGGACTCAACAGGCTCCCCACTTTGATGTTTATGGATTCTGTTGGATACCACAGGCTTGAAGCTTTGCTGTTGATGGATTTTGTTGAACACAACAAGCTTGACACTTTGCTGTTGATGGATTCTGTTGCATGCAACAGGCTTCATACTGAGTCAGGTTGGCGTAGCGGTACTTTCCTCGCCTTCCACCGCTGTGACCCGGGTTCGAATCCTGCCTGGGCCAATATGTGGATTGGGTTTTCAGCCCCTGCCTGATTCCATGGGTTTCCCCCAGAATATTCTCCTGGGCATTTCCTCCCACCTCTAAAACTGTAACTTCTTCTCACTGTCTTCTCCGGCCACAGGTTTCTTCAGGCTTGCGAGCTACAGTGCCTAGGGCGCTTTTGAGGAATCCTTGGTTTCATTACCAGAAATTATTAATAATAATAATAATACAGGCTGTTCTTGGATTCTCTTGGATTCTGATGGATTCTCTTGGATGCAACAGGTTGATAGATTCAGTTTGATGCAGGATTTATACTTAATATCGTTCATGATTCTATAATATCTTGAAGTTTCATAGTTATGAAACATTGTACCTTGAAATTGGTTTCAGGGTTTCATAATTAAATCATTTTGTCCACTCTGTCATGGTACATTACCTGTGCAAATCTTGTTTGATTTCTGTTACATCTGAGAATCTTCAAGTTAATTTGATCCAAATTCAGTAATAGTTTGGAGATTTGTGAATCATAACAAACCCCATAAACTCACCCAAATAATAGATGTTTGGCGCCACCCATCCTCCATAGGCCAGCTCCCCAAGATAATTGGATGCTTCATGGTTCCCTCCAATAAACAGGGTCAAAATCGGAGCTTTCTTCTCACCAGAGTAATACCTTCAAAACAAACCACTTTAGAGTTTTAGCTTTCAGTCAAGCAAGAAAATTGCCTTTGGCAATATTCAAACATTCAAATACTATTCAGGAATACTACGTGTTAGTTAAGAAGGTGTAATAAGGCCAAAAAAAAAAGTCTCCGGTTTCTGGTATGCGCGCGCGTCGCCGTAGCCATGCGCGTCGGCAAAATGAAAAAGTTTTTTTTTTCAATACAAGATGATGTTTCAAAACCGCCAAACTCACTGGTTTGACTGGAATTCTGCTGCTGCACAATTTTAACGTGTTTTTAGAAGGGGTTATGATCGAGAATAAGATTTATGTGGCCTCTCTGGACTCCCATATATTTGCACTAAGTTTAGTCGGGCACCATTTGCAGTCATCAGCCGACATTTGAAGCCAAAAAAAAAAAAAAAAAAACAGGTAAAAAAAAAAAAAAGCCGCGTCGCCGCACCACTTTTGGGGCAAGCTCCATACCAGAAACCGGAGACTTTTTTTTTTTGGCCTAATGGTCTGGAGTCAGTCATGAAATGACCATTCACCACATTTCTTTCAGCAAATTTTGGGACAGGTTTTAAAAGTTGAATAAAGAAATTGACTGAAGCAGGATTTGAACCTACAGCCTCCAGATTGCCGTACCGATACTCCACCAAGTGAGCAATCCAGCCCTATGTTAGCGGTTCCCCATTATGTCAATGTCTTTGTTCAAGTGGCAACTATAGTCCGAAGCCATAAACGCCTTTGTAACACCTCACCCACAGATTCTGTATCTCGATTGGCTGAGAGCAAGTAACATGACATTTGCTATTTTTGCTATCTTGCTGTGCACGACGAAAAGTACTATACCCGTAGCAACCAAAGTACTATACCCATAGCAACCAAAGAACATGTACTATGCGATGAGAACCTGTATTGTGTGCAAAAGCAACAGGTGTGCGAATAGCGTGTATTAGTCCCAAGCGCGCGCTGGCGCTACAGAGCTGGGTTCAAACATCTGGGGTAGTTTGGAAAAGTGCAAGTAAATTTTCACCTATTTTCATATTCAATTTGAAGTACATTTTAATTGAATTGATGTTAAATTAATCACACATAACTTAAAAAACAAGCAGAATCTGTGGGAGAGGTGTTATAAAACAAATATTGACTGCTTTATCTCGTGGTGTAGTCAAACTAGCCTCCCTCGGTGATCCATGGAGCATTCTATTTTCCCTCAGCTTCACCTAGGGGAAGAATAGAATGCTCCATGGATCACTGAGGGAGGCTAGTTTTACTACACCACCTTGAAGCAGTCAACATTTGTAAAATATGCCATGAAGCCAGGGATTACGAACAAAGTCACGATACTAGCAACATTTTAGCACTGCTGCAAACCTGGAAATAGGAAACAGGGATCACTCAGAGAGGATACAGTTTTTTTTGTACCAGTTTTCAATCAACCACAAAGTCAGTTTCCCTTTGTGGTTAATTGGCAAATTTTGGATTCGTATCATTCTAAGTACATTCCAAAGCTCCAAATTTATTGCTTTTGGTCACTTTTTGTTTTAAGCAGGTGTTATATCTCCTTCTGATGGTGTTCCAGGGGCCAGTGGATATCTCCAATGAGTCACTGTTCTTTGTTCAACAGGACTTTAATTCATATTAAAATATCTGAAATGCTATTGTGATTGATTACTGAAGTCAGTAGAATTAGAGATTTGAGGATGCTTCCAATAACTGATGTTTCTCTCCAACTATATTGGTTGGCTACTTGCAATCACTTCCATTCTTCGAGATTTGAGATTTTTTTTTTTTTTTGGGGGGGGCTTGTTTTTGTTTTTATTTTGTGTTCCCCCCCCCCCCCACAAAAAAACAACAATTCTTCAGGAGTGGAGTTGCCATTAAAGGGGTTGACAGATTTTTTTGCAGGGGCCTTCCCCTAATCCTAACTCCCTAGTGTCTTTTAAAGTACTGGACCAAGTCCGCCAAAATCCATCACTGACCCTGCTTCACATAATGCTTCAAGACCAAATCCGCTAAAATCCACTACAAGACCACCACTACTATAGGTGGATTTTGATGGACTTGGTACTCATGGCTTGCCTACCAAAGTCCCCAAAATGGGGGGATGTCTTTTGATGGATTTTGGAAGGTTAGGGTTTATGCCACTGAAATCAACCACGTAGCTGATATGATACCAAATAAAATTAATCATTTCAGTCAAGTTAAGGATTTGTTTCTCTTCACTATGTCAGGCATGCAACTGGGAAGTCACAAAAAGAGGAAATTAAAATTTTCCCAGACTTTGTACAGTGTTTTTCTATTTTCAATGGCACACATTGGAAGTACAAAAAGAGGAAATCAGCTGATTCGAGGAAAAGTTGCATGCCTGCTATGTTTCAACTTGCTTATGAGTTATATTTTAACAAAAAAACCTACTTTCATTTTATTTTGTCTGCTTTCTTCTGGCATAAGATTTACATTCCAAGTTGATATTATGCATAAAATGATCTGCTGTTGCAAATAGAATGGTTCCCAGTATCTACATTATCAACTCTCATTGGGGGGACCAGCTAGTCTATCCTACAAGAACTGAATTATTGTTGGGTTGCAAATAATTGAAATTTTGCAAAAGTAATTATCCAAAAAACAATTATATAAGTTATATTGCAAGACAAATAGCAATTCAAAAACTATATATTTCAGCGTGAAAATCAAATTTAGCTCAAACAGTACATCATAAATGTTATAATGGCCAGTCTTGACTTACTTGTAAAAAGAGTTCATTGTTCGGAACTTTTTGGGCACTGCCATGCACTCCATGTCTCTTTCATTACGGACAGCCTGAAAGTCACCACAACATAGCAGAAGGTCCACCTTAATGCCTACCAAAAGAGAAACCAAAAGAAAAAACAGTATCGTAAAAAAAATTAAAAAAATGCCAACCCAATAAATGTTAAACCTTTGAGATCATGTTTCTTTATGTACTTGCCTTCATTCTTTCACAACAGGACCTCTTAAAAATCAATGTCAACAAAAAACCTGCAATATTGTGGCAATACTTTTCCCAAATAAAAAGACATTGCCAAGGTATTTAAAACACATTCATAAATACCTCAGACAGTTTAGCTATTCCTATTGGTCGAGAGCCCGTCACGTGGCCGGTCGTAAACGGATGATAAAGACATGGCTAGCTGGTCTTAAACACTTTTCCAGTGTCACAATAAAATGTGGACTCCTAAAAATCCAGTGCCTCTTACCGTTTCATTGGTTGAACGTTCACAATCCTCACGTAGGCATGCGCAACACTACAAGCGAGTCAGAATTTTATAGTTCTAAATTCAAAACGCAACGCCCCAGGTGCGTTCTGCGTGACATCGCGCAGAACATGTTACGCGCGCGTCAATCTCCATAAAAGGGTTGTTTACATCTTACTCGCCAGCTGAACACTCCATTATTTTGCTAGGGGGATGTTTCAAAAAGCATGAAGTGAACTTGTTGAACAAAATCGGGATTTTTTGAACGAATTATTTGATATTTTTTTACGGATAAGGTATTTATGAATGGGAATAAATATGTGCTCGGTCGGTATTTATCACTCTGTTTAATACCGCTTAGAGTCTGGGTGCTGATAATTACCCTCGCCTCCGGCTCGGGTAATTATCAGCACCCAGACTCTAAGCGGTATTAAACGAGTGATAAAAACCTCCGGAGCACACATTTATTCCCTTAATTAAGATTCCAAACCTTGACAGGATTACATGTAGATAATTTACCCTCTTTCTCTTCAAGATGCTGGATTGTGGCATATATTTTCTCCAATTCTCCATGGCAACATCCCTCCACAGCTATCTTCATCTTGCAGACCTAACCTTAGAAGCATGAACGGTAGTATTTAGAACATCTCACATCATCAATTCATTTTAAGAGAGAAAAACTTGGAACATAAATTAGCGATTGCGAAGTTACGGACCCCTCATTAAAAAAAAAAAGTTGTTGGAGTGTTTTACATTCAAAAATGACTTCTGCAACCTTACATAAAAGCAATCTTCTTTTACTTCCAATAACCATATTTTATTTTTACTAAAAAAGGATTTTGACCTAAAAAAAGGATTTTCTTCCCCTTTTAACTTCACTCCTAACTTCACAATCACCCATGAAGGGTTGTGCTATTAAGCGTCAACAAGCTCAATAGCCACTCTTGAGCTTCAAAACTCAACGTATTCAACAAACTCTCATGTGTCGTTTTATGTAAGACAGTAAGAAATGGGTGAATTCACATTCACAATCCCAAACAAAAGTAGAATTTTTATGGTGACTTCCTAAAACGGGGATGAATTCCATGTACTGACATCACTTAGGCCAAAAAACAAATAGGAGTTTAGGGGAAAACTGTGCAGCGGTTTTCTGGCAAAAGACTACATTTTGATGCACATTTTTGTACTTAGTAGTCGTTTCGTAGCAGTCAATAAATTTGTTGGTGATGCTGTCTATGGGGCTCTGCTACGGGTAGCAGATAACATTGCGATACCTCATCATGAATACTTAATTCTCATTCATTAGTCTTACTTCAACAGACACCTTATATATCGAATGATCTTAACATCTGCAACAAGCACTTGTTGTCGAGCGGGTAAACAGGCCCCACGGGCAATCCTCGAAATATCACGCTGCGCTGTATCAGTCAGTGCCAACATTTGCTCACACTATGCACTATCAACCTCTTTCTGAAATTGTCGTATTTAATTTGGCTCTGTATAGTGTTATGCGCTTTCTTGCAATTTGGGCAATTTTAAGAATGAGCTCGCATTCTTAACTAAGAACAAGTGCACATTCTAATGAGCACACAATCTTAAGAATGAGCGCTCACTCAGTTAAGATTGCATGAGAATGTTACGTGCGCAATTATGAATTTTGCACAATCTTATCAAACGTCATTGTGCATGGGAAATGTGTTCCCCTCTACTGTCTTTAAAGTCACATGGTGGCATAGCTTGAGTAACTCCAGCTCCAATGTTGTGGGTTTTTTTTGGTCAACAGCAATCGGCAGAATAGTGTTGCGCGACGTTTTCTCATGGTTTCTCGAGAATCGCCACCAAAATCATCGAAAAATTTCATATTTTAGTCTTCGTTGTTCTGTTTGAAGTCGCTTACTAGCTTTGTGAATGTCTGTTGCATCGTGTATGACTCATGAGCCAGAGGTATGTATGAATTATGGAATCTGGGTCGGGATAATATAGGGAAAATGGACCGTTTTTGTAAGATAGTGGATATTTTGCCGGAGGTAATGACGGCAAACTAACGTTTACTAAAGGTTTGCCGGCGGCAATCCATATCAACAGAGGGCGCTGTACTCTTTAAGTTAGGGCTGAATTATAAGATGTATTATATTCCCACTAGAAATTGAGTAGCTTGTTTGGTGCAGTGGTTAAGCAAAGGCTTTAGTAAGTGGGATGACTCGGGTTCGATCCTGATCCCAGCCACATTTAAGTTGTTTTTTTTCCCATCCCCAAATAAATAAGAATATTCTTCTTTTATTATTTTAACATGTCTCAAACATTTTATTGCAGAGTATTACATTTTCTTTTTCAGATTTGTGGCTCTGGAGGATTTTTTTTTAAAGGGAAATAAAGTCCGAAATTATAAAATGGTCTGAATCCCATCTTGCATCTTGTGAATACGAGGTTACAACGATAATATTGGCATGGAGCCAGACTAACATTTGTCACCGGAAAATGTTGAGGTACCAAAAAACAGTAACTCACTAACTGCGCATGTTCAGTGCATATCCGGCAAACTAACGTTTACTAAAGGTTTGCCGTCTCCGGCAAAATATCCACTGCCTTTTTGTAATGCACTGGGGATACAGTGCAGAGTCCGGGATTTCGGGACTCTTACGACCCGGTACTTTTAACGTAGGCCTAGTTGTGATTCCAGCTCTAATGCGATAGGCATTAGAGCTGGAGTTACTCAAGCTAATGGTGGCGATGTTTTCAAGATGTGTCTCCTTTCGGTTTTGCGGTAACACCATGTGGTAATAACTACTGCTTAGAACTTAGATATTAGTTCTGAGAAGAACTTGTCCTGCCTATTAGTATTACTAACTTGCTAAGTAGTTTTTTGTTCTGTTTAGAACAGTCCTGCTGTAAGTTCTAAAAGAACTTGTCTTTGGTCTCAACGTTTCGACTAGCCTGCTCTAGTCATCGTCAGGAGATCTTCAGTCTCCTGACGATGACTAGAGCAGGCTAGTCGAAACGTTGAGACCAAAGACAAGTTCTTTTAGAACTTACAGCAGGACTGTTCTAAACAGAACAAAAAAACTACTTAGCAAGTTGATAATAAGCAGGACAAGTTCTTCTCAGAACTAATATCTTCTAAGCAGTAGTTATTACCACATGGTGTTACCGCAAAACCGAAACGATACCGATACCCCACCATGCAAAGCCTCAAATCTTATATAAGATCACTCCTAGAACTATGAGGCTCCACGTAGTGGAGCCTCATAGGTTCAGAAGCCCGCAAAATTGTTGTCAGCACAAAACACTAATTAAGTACAAAAACGTCCATCCCAAGCAGGCCGTTTTCCACAGAACCGCTGCACAGTTTGCCCCTAAACTCCATACAATACCTCATGACATACTCACGTTATGTGCACCCAACAAACATCGGTGGATTCTGTCTGTTTTTCGGCAAAAATGATGAAAAATATGCCCTTTCTGCACTGAGCCAACCTAACACTTGAAACGAGCACGCGTGCAGAATGATCGCAGTTATTTTCGGTTCGATCGCTCGGAGCGCGCCGCGGGGGGTATGGTGTAGGAGCGGAACGATAGTATGCACATGCGTACAAGTGCAAGTACGTACCCCCCGCGGCGCGCTCCGAGCGATCGAACCGAAAATAACTGCGATCATTCTGCACGCGTGCTCGTTTCAAGTGTTAGGTTGGCTCAGTGCGGAAAGGGCATATTTTTCATAATTTTTGCCGAAAAACAGACAGAATCCACCGATGTTTGTTGGGTGCACATAACGTGAGTATGTCATGAGGTATTGTATGGAGTTTAGGGGCAAACTGTGCAGCGGTTCTGTGGAAAACGGCCTGCTTGGGATGGACGTTTTTGTACTTAATTAGTGTTTTGTGCTGACAACAATTTTGCGGGCTTCTGAACCTATGAGGCTCCACTACGTGGAGCCTCATAGTTCTAGGAGTAATATAAGATGTGTCTCCTTTTACATTTTACTGCAAGTGCAAAGTCCAAGAAATCGCTGATTTCCCGACTTTGCATTTGAGACACATGGTCATGGGCTAGCTGAGCTGAACACTTTTGTATCATCATATTCATATTCCTACCTGAACTGAAGGAGATACTCACAAGTTATCAAGAAAAAAAGAAATCGAATGAAAGTTAAACCTCCAGTGCTCCACAAAGTCAAAAATCTATACATGCTATATGTAAAGAATCCATCCCCGACGTCTTTGTCGTGGTTTGCAGTGCTTGCAAGTGTTGCAGGCATCGCAAGCATCGCAGGTACCAGGCTAATGGTGAATGAGCGGCGCTTGAGGGCGGTAGATATTCTCGGTGGTGGTTGATTCGATTCCTCGTGCACTTGTTGAAGGCGGGAGGGGGAAGGCGGGAGGGGCTACCAAGCAAGGTCCCGTATAAACCAAAAACAAAATGAAACTATATAATTATATATCATTGTTAATTAAGTAAAGTTTAGGCCTATCTTTTTTCTTGATTTTGTTAGCTTTACCATAACATCAGAAGGGGGACTTCTACAATTTCCATGAAGATGACAGTGCTACTCATTTCTCAAGACGATTGATATTGTACGAACTTGAGGTATTTAGGCCTATTAAAAAAAAATTAGGAAAAACAAACATGTTATTCAATTATCACAAGAGCTCAACTATGGTCATAAAGGTCAAATAGCATTATTTTTTTTTTTCAATGTGTCAAATAAGTAACACGTTTATAATATAAAATATCATTTTTGAACACTTGCTTTGTTTTCCTTGATTTAAATTAGTGATTTTTCTTCAAACCAATAATAAACCTTAAAAGTGAATGCAGGTCGGGTAAATTGGTTTGAGGTTTAATGTGAGTTTACTTCGTGCATAAATAAAACGTTTCACAAAACTAGTTCCAACAGACTTGATTCAGTGGAAACCACTCATTTCCATGTGGAAGATAATACTCAGTACATGTATACATGAAGTCTATCATAATTATTGAACACGACCTTTATGAACGATTTCCCAAGCATTTCGTGTCAAAATGCTTTCAAAATTACGGCGAGGGGTTCTGGGCCCGCTCAAGGGCCCTGAAAATGTTTTGGATTCTAGCCTGGTGCGATCCGAGGCAATTTCGGATCACTTCAAGCAAATTTGAGGAAAATAAGGTGGTGTAAGTAGTATGTGAGGCGTAAATCATTCCCCGTTTAAGGATTAAGCTGTGGATCAAATTGTGGATCCACAACTTAATCCTCAAACGGGGATGATTTACCCCTCACAGTGGGCACTCCGAGGAGTTCCAAGTTGCGCGCGCGCGTATCTACCTTCTCCTCCGTCTTAGTTCCGGTTAGCAATCTATTTATCAATAGAATAAACTCTTAAAACATTTTTAAAATGCGGCGGCGATGACGTCACTTATCCTATATGACGGCAATACATTTGTACATGACGAAAATTTCAGAGTCCGGTTGGCTGGATGGTTCAAGTCTAAAACAGCAGCGCGAACTGCAACCAAACTTTTTTTTCGGGAAATGTAAATTTTATATTTGATTTTTCCCTTCGCCGACGTATTTGTATAATTTAACTGAAGAGCCCATATTTTCTTAATCATTTTCTCATCAGCCGGTCCTTTTAAATGAAACCATGAAGGTGAATTACACATTCTAGAGTGTAGAATTTAGCTTCTGGTCGTTATGATTTGTGAATACTATTATAAACGAAGACGCCCTTTATTAATTGATATATGGATGGGTGGATTGACGGATTGATAGTTTGATCAAATCGATGGATTGATGGCTCATGCGTAATCTTGTATTACTCATTTAAATCATTTACTCATTTCGTTGCTCTTTGTACTTATTGCGCTGCTCATTGTTCTCATTTCGTTGCTCATTTTACTTATTTACCCATTTCATTGCTCATTTTACTCATTTACTCATTGCGCTGCTCATTTTCAAATTTCGTTGCTCATTTTGCTCATTGCGTTGCTCATTTTGCTCAATGCGATGCTCATTTTGCATATACAACCCAATCGAAGATGTTACTCAAACCGGATTTCAATAAAGGGCATCCTGTCAATTCGTATTAATTATTTTAATTAATTTACAGGTGAACGTTGACATTGTTCGTGCTGGGTCAAGCGAGTGGGCTATTGCGAACCAGGAATGCGGGGCACCAATCACCGCCCAATGCGCCCATGAAGCCAAACCACAATCGCGATCGACTGCGGTCGACCGTTAAGGGCTCGCTTCGTGGCCGTCGATATTCCGGGCACTGCAACTCTCCAGCTCTGTGAGGTGCGTGTTGAATTGCTGTCTTCCGGACGCTGCTAAGGATGTTACCGACTGTCACCTCCCTCAGGACCCGATTACGATGTACAACCCAATTTCGAATTGGCCTGATTACCGATTAGTTTTCACTCGGTGTCGTGGATTGGGATTTTTGTTTCATTACTAAATTCTAAATGAAGAAGTAGAAAATAATTTTGTTTGCCGAAATGACATGAGGGTATATCCTTTTCAAAGGTGTACTTTACTCGCTCAACAATATAGTTTAATAATATCTGCAACTTCCCACAAGAAAGGAAAAGAATAATTACTCCATACACATTTACACATGATCAGCCATAGGTTGGACATGGTGTTTACCCATGCGCATTTTAACGTCAGTTCATTGATTGGAAGCTATACTGAAATTTATTTTAGACGTGAAAATAACAACAGAAATGTCACACTTTTTCTCTACACTAACTTTGGTGCTTCAATTTCCATTGATTAAGTTTTTTTGGGGGGGGGGTGGGAGGTTTGTTTTTTGTTCAACTAATATTAGCTTAAAATCACAGCTACAATTTGCTGGTGCCTAGATCACAGAATTTTTTATTTTATAGTTTTTTTCATTGCAATTAATATTGCATTTATTCATAGCAGTTCTCATTTAGTGTATTGCTATTTTGAAACCATACTCTTTTTTTAAGAAAAAAGACATTCATTTCCTTGCAATTCCTACGATTTGTTATCGCTTTTAGAAGTGATCTGGATTATTTTAATGGAAATAAATACCCGTAACAAGTGTTTCCAGCGATCAAAAATATAGCGTCATATCCAAGTAATCGCATGTTGCATGCACGGGCGTCGCTACGGGGGGGGGGGGGGGTGTCACACCCCCATTAGTCACTTTTGTCGACAAAATCATGGTGCTGTCGGCAAATTAGAAAATGAAGAATGGAGAAGGAAGGGGAAAGGAAGCGGGAAGAAGAAATAATGGAGAATGTAAATAATAAACACCACTGCGCAAGACCCCACGAAGCTAAAATCCGGTTCTGCAACCCATGACAAAAGATTGTACATTCTGTCATGTCGGCTACAACTACAGCTGTGCAAAGCACGTGCTCGCTCGCAGGCAGTCACGATGCAACAGGTTGCCAATTTTGTCCTTTTTCTTTTTTTTTGGGGGGGGGGCAATTTTATAAATGATATAAATGATATAAATGTGGTCTGTTTTTGAGCAGTAAAATAGGGGTATAAATGGCGTCACCACGTCAAAATACTCTCCCCCCCCCCCCTGAAAAAAAAATTGAAAAATAAAATCAAAGTTTAAAAAAAAATAAAACTAAACGCTGACTCATCTAGTCACAGACTCCCGTGTTTTAATTTACTCAATTGCTATCTGCGTGAACGATTGGACAGTAATTGAAGTTAATAATATTACATTTATAACAGTCACAATTTGCAATGTTTTCAAAATGTTGTAAATTATAAATAAGCCTTTTTAAGGACCCATTTATTGCCATTGATTGGATGGGCCTAGTCAGGTCACAAAATATACAATTCCTGTTAGAGTAGAATCTGCTTCACGAAGCACAAAGATATCAGCCGGATGTTGGAAAGTAAAATCTATAATATGACCACTAATAGTGACCAATGGGTCACCTTTCACCTACACCTGCAGTCAACCGGCGTTAAATTGACCACGTGTGGCTGAAATCAAGCGAAAAACGTAGAAAAAGAACCATGTTGCAATTTTCCCATGAAATGACCACTAGTGACCACGGGTTGACCTTTGACCCAAGTCATTTAAAAACTCGTGATAGCTAGGCTTGGGTAAATGATGCATATGACCAAATTTGGCTTGAACCGGATAAGGAATGTGACAATGTGAGGCACTTGACATGTTTGAATAAAATGACCCCCTCTTACGCAAGCTGTCTAGTGAAGACTGTGGGAGAAGCATCTTGTCATTTTCAATTTAAAAAAAAAAAATTACCACTAGTGACCACAAGCCTGACTCCCCCCCCCCCCTCCCCAAATAATAGTGACTGCCCGATATGCCGCCTGATGTCGGTGAAGATCCTGTCAAAATTTGGCTGAAATCAGCCAAAGCGTTTGGAAGATAAAGCATTAAAGTTTAAAGGCCAATTGGGAGAAAGAAGAGGAAGATACAGCAGCGTCATAGTGTATCAGCCGGTGCAGCAACACACGTTGTAGATCCTCTATAGCACCCGGATGTGCTGTATTCTCGTAAAATATCGCTTCCACGCTCTATTACTAACACCGGATAGGGTTCAGGTACTACAATCGCGCTGTTTCACAATCACCATCGTATTTTTCCGAACCTGCACCAGCTGCATATGTCATGAGTCGCCTGCAAGGTTGTCGAACAATGCATACATGTACGCAATATGCAATTTCTCATGCGGGGATTTTTGGGGATGAGAAATATCAACTCTAATAAAAAAAAGATCAGCAGAACGGAGGGTATTTAAAAAATTGTTTGCATGCTGCAGAATGCCTTCATGTCGGGGTAATTCTGGTTAACATTGGTCTCCAAATATTTCTCTACTCCATCTACTGTGCGAATGGTGGAACTAGACATCTTCAGGGCAAATCTGAATCGATTTCCTGGTGTACTTTTGTTTTTTAGGTATTGGTCAGCGCATAATTCGTCTGGCTGCCTGCTTGATTAAGACTGGTATCTATGAAACTGTTAATGGGTGACTTTTTGAAAATTTGTATTAGGTCATAGACTTATCCAAAATATTGTCAGTCATATGTTTCAGTTTACTTCGGTAAATGTCAGCAATCGACATACCCCTCTATTATCGAGAGGGTGAAGGTACAATAAGCACACACAAACAAACACGCGTGCCGCTACACCCACACATGAATGTTGGCCTGTATTAAATTAACAATGCACGTCCATTGTCATGAGTCAGCTACAAGGCCGTCACCACAAACAATGGACACACGGAACATGTAAATATTTCTCACCGGGGAAT